TTTCAGCAATCTGAACAAGACATTGATGTTAGGGCATACATGATACACCACATGCGGATCGATCAAACTTTGTCATGGACCAACACCTATGGTAGACTTCAGACTATTGAAGTACCAAACTCAATGTGTGAAAACTTATTGAACAGGACATAGCAACCATGTTTGATCTTTCAAGAGATATACATATACAAAACCATAATATGTATATATAATATATACATATAGTATATAGATATTTTGTATTTAGGGTGTGTATACGTATGTATATATATATATATATGGTATATACATATATATATATACAGTATATAGTATATAGTATATATTACATATACAGTATATATATGTATATATGGGATTACTACTACTAGTACTACTACTAGTAGTACTACTAGTACTACTAGTACTACTAGTACTACTAGTACTACTAGTACTACTAGTACTACTAGTACTACTAGTACTACTAGTACTACTAGTACTACTAGTACTACTAGTACTACTAGCACTACTAGTACTACTAGTACTACTAGTACTACTAGTACTACTAGTACTACTAGTACTACTAGTACTACTAGTACTACTAGTACTACTAGTACTACTAGTACTACTTAGTACTACTTAGTACTACTTAGTACTACTTAGTACTACTTAGTACTACTTAGTACTACTAGTACTAGTACTAGTACTAGTACTAGTACTAGTACTGCTACTGCTACTGCTACTGCTACTACTACTACTACTACTACTACTACTACCTACTACTACTACTACTACTACTACTACTACACACACATATATATATATACATAGAGTGTATGTACACACACGCATACATACAATAGCTGTTTTGTCCGGTCCTTGAGGCTTGAGGCCTTGAGTTTTTTCCTGTTGGGAGAGGTCCTAGCCCCAAGACTGTCATAGTCACTCTTGTCGCACCCGAAGGGTGGCTGGTAGGTACAACGCGATCCCCGCTTCCGTTTTGGGTGGCAACAAACAGGTGGGATGTCCTAAGCATCACCCCTGGTCTTTTTTGTGCCATGGTTAAGCGATCAAGGTACATGGGATGATTCCATTGATTTCTTTCGTGTTTTTTGTGAAGATCCGACTTGCTGGAAACGGTGGCAGGCCTGGAGGAAGAATGAACATGCCCGCCAATTTCCTGGCGGATCTGATACAGGCTGGGAGCGACATGGCATGGCCGTTCACAACGAGCTTGGCAAATCTAGAATTGTCTTTTGTTGCTGGCCCAGTTCCGAAAAAGACCTTGGGCGTGGGTCGGTCAAAATCATCAAGCCATATCAACCCCCAAAATGGATGGGTCAGCCGCTGGCAGATCTGCATGGCAGATCTGCAAATGACCAGCCTTTTGTGGGCATAGCCACTAAAATGCCCCAGGTATTGGTTGGTCCTACTATCGCTACCCGCACATAGCATCAAGTGCATGGCTTGGACTGGCGCTGCTGCAAAAGCCAAGTGAAGACTCACCAGTGCGGAGCTTGGGAATCTGGTGACGGTTTAATATGATTTGATTATTCGAACATGGGAGATGACAAGGGTATATCAACCAATGAATCTGGTTGGTGGTTGGTTTTTTCCCCTTTCATTAACCCTACTTGTAATTAATTGTTGGAGATGACATTCCCAATTATTCAACATTATCCGGTGATTCCAAACTCAATGCCACGACTCCAATATGGACTTGGACCAACGATGGTGATGGCAATATCATCACCTACTGAGATTCCAAAAAAGGCCAAACACTTTGGAAGAATTGCAGATTCCTACTGGCAGGTCGATGGTGCATGATGTGAGCCCAGGTCAATCATCATGCAAATCCATATGGAGTACCTCAGAAGCCACTACCAGAGGCAGGAACAGTGCAAGGGATGAGATTTGAACTTGAACTAATAATTAAAGCGATTCCTGAGAATGTGCTGAATCACTTTTTAAGGAATGCGTGATCATATGGGTTTGTGTGAAAATGTTGTACCCCAGAATTTGATTAAAAACATGGGTTTGTCATCGTTTTCGCAATTAAACTGGCAATCCATTCGAGGTCTCCCAATTTTCAGAGCCACAAAAGTGCACTGCCAGGTTGACAGCAACCTGCAGTGTTTGTCATCAAAGATTTGAGTGCTGCGAAAACCCAGCGGCATTTCATGGTTTCAAAAGGGATGTTACGATGCCGAAGGTTGACGCCACAGTCATGGATTGCATGGATGTCTACCTGTGGAATTTTATCCATAGCCAGGAAATTATAGGGATAGTGTCTCTATCCATCTCTATACACTTACTGTGTTCCATCTGAACCTGTGACCTTGAATTTATTCAGACAAACACTGCTCTTAACCAATGTTGAGCGCAATTTCCGAGACTGTGAGAATATGTGTTTGTGTGCGATAGATTTATCTAGATCCTCTGTGATTTATGGATATTTATGGATATTTATGGCATTTATGGCAAACTATGCATATTGTCTGTCATATGCCAAGGTATTTCTTGATTTGTGGCTTTGGCTGTAGCCCCAAAGGCACACATCCCTACCTTCCCCATCTTTGGATGCCTGGTAATCTGCCTTTACCGTTTGCTTCAGGAAAACAGGAGTCTTGGGACGGGTAGATTTGCATCTAGTTCTGATTGGTTTGAACATATAGATCATTATAGATTGATAGATTCGTAAATTGCAATTAACATATATGTATATATATTATATGTATAATCAGGATTGCATTATGTTTACTCTCTGGTCATCACAAGTGCCATGGTTTTCCATAAAACCTCCATTTTGATTGGGGATTTCCTATGACCACCCAAAGCTGCGTTACCTGCATGTCTGGCTATTTCGCAATGTCCAATTATTATGCAGTATCGACAAACCCCAAAAAGATAGAAAAGCAGCATAATCCCATAGAATCCCACTAAAATAGTGCTAAAAGACTCACTTATCTTCTTGGGGATTCCTTTGTTCGTCACTTGAAACGCAGTATGGTTCAAAGGCTCCGCGGACTAAGGTGCCTATGTGGTGGGTGCTGATCCACTCTCAGACATAGCCGTGTTGCAAGTGAAGGATGACCAGTCTGTTCGGGATCCCTTGGGTCCGCAGCGAGCGGATGGGTGAAACATCCTTGCGGCATTTCTGTTTATCACTATGAAGTTCCGGTTAATGTAGGTTCATTTTCCTTCCCTGTTTGTACTCACTGGCTGCAGTCAAGAACATTTATTGCAAAGCAAAGAATGGTGATATGATTCTATCGGCTCTGTCCGGAACACTTCTGATTGGGGCTCTTCCAAGTCTTGCAATCGGGTACGAAATCCATGAACCCTGAATACTTTGCAACTTGGGGACATCTGGATTTGACAAGACACCAGAACTATGGGCCCGGCCCACAATGTTTTTTTTGGCACCATCAAGCCTGCTTGCCTTTTGTGAATTGGATTAGCAGCCATGGTGGAAATGCGCTTGGCTTCCCGATCTGCACGTATGCCTGTGTATGCCAATGTATGCTCACGTATGCCAATGTATGCCTGTGTATGTATATCTGTGTATCATTGTGTATCTACATATATCATTTATATGATCATGAATCTATCTGCACATAGCTAGGTAGCTAGCTAGATAGACAGACAGATAGATGAATCTCATGCAATGTGCTAAGCCACTCATAACAATCGCACCGGGCCACGCTAGGCTGAGATGCTGCCGTCGCTGATGCAACCTCTGGAGCGTGGCCAATCCCAAATGCTGAAGCCGGGACAAGAGGCCATTGGTCGGCTTGGACGTTGGTTGCAGGAGGGTTAGGACGTCGGAAATCACTGAGTATGCATACTGTATTAGATATTGATAAATATATATTATATAAAGGCGTTGGTATGTGTTGGTGGGTTGGAGTTGGGTTGGGGGTGGGCTAGATTTGGGTTGGACTTGGGTTGGGCGGTTGGTAAAACAGTCCTGATGCTTGCTAAAATATTTGTGTAAAAGAAAGCCACCGCACGGGGCTCTGAGTTGTCCTAGTGATGCATCGGTGTAGATTGAAGATGTTTTGCAGATCAAGGTGCTTTAATTTCTTTAATGCGTGAAACGAATATCTATCATTATCTGACTTGTCAAAATACATCCGGACCAACCTTTTCAGTACTCTTCCGCGCCCTTCCGCGCCCTTCCGCGCCCTTCCGTGCCTGGTAAGATGCTCCATGAAGCGCTCCGCAGGTGTTTGCCTTAGGGAATCCCTTCGGCCTTGAACACAGCATGAGCGGGACACTCAGGGATGACCAGCGAAATATGCCTTGGTGATTGGCACCATCGAAATCTCATCGAATTATACAATAGTATATTATTGTTCATCAATGTTCTATGCTCAAAGGGATGCAGTTCTTTCTTTCAACTAAGATGGTACCACCATCGTCCTCAGGTAAAGGCGTCATCAGCGGCCTTTCTCGAAGCATGGAGGTGCTGGTGTTTCAAGTAGCTGAATAAAGCGGACATTTTCAGATGGGTTTCAAGGTGATCAACTTCTCAAGATTTAATTTGGCTTAATTCTAGATAAAATGGTCAAACTATGTCAAACTGATTGTGGGTTTGTCCAGGTTTTCCATCCATTTGGAAGTTTTCATGGATCAAAACCTGAACACGTCATCTCTCATTTTCGTTAAGCAACTGACTCAAAACATCTTTGAAAGAATGATTGAAAAGATGTTCTGTGCCAGTTTGATCCAGTTCCGATTCTCTTTGGGCTGACCTTTCTCGTGCCCAGGGTGCAGGTGGTTGGCCTATGAATGGCATCTTGGCAGCTTTCTTGCGCCACATCTGGACCATCGTGGAGCTTGAAAACCTTGGATTGATGGATTGAAAACCTTGGGTTCCAAGATTCGCAGACAGCTCAAGATTTCCACTGGATTTCATGATTTGTTCTGTCAGGCAAAATGTGTTTTTTTCCCTTTCTGGAAGCCTTTTGTTTTTTTCCCTTTCTGGAAGCCTTTGACATGACTTGGCTCGTTCCTGCCATGACTGGGCTCCAGCTGCAAACACCGGAGCCTTGCTGATCGCATATCCTTTCAGTTTTAAAGCCATGGCAGAGTCGAAATGCTTTGCTTTTGCCTTTCAGCTGAAGTGATTGGGAGGGGAACCAAACACATCTCAGGGCTTCAATGCTGGGTTGGCATTGCATCATTTTTCTTCGAGGAGCCCAAAAGACTTGGGAGGAATCCTCCAAGAATTTCACCCGGTGCTGAGGTTTTTGGTATGGCATCTGGGCACATCAACCCATCCCTGCCATTGGCCAGACAATTAGTGTCTCAGGGCCACAAGGTGATTGGCTCGGGTGCTCGCCCACACGGAAAATCCATGTTTCGTATGTACCAGTATAGTATAGTAACTATAGTATCAGTATCGTGTAGTATCTAGCAACATGATGGAATTAGTACGAGTTAATAGAGATATGTAGGTCATGTTGTATGTTAGATATAGTTACTATATGTTACTATGCTATTATTGCGAATGATAGACAAATATTGCGGTTCATTTCAGCAGTGCTGCCTCGTGTTCTCATGCTTTGATAATACCAGCATCCATTTTGTCACGAGAGAGTGTATTTCGGAGCTGTTTTTGTTGATGCTCCCAGCCGGTCCTACCAGCTTGCTTAGTGCCCCTGATACATGCAGGTGCATTACCTGGCACGAGAACAGATGCGTGCGGCCATTGAAGACGCTTGGGCAGTTGAAGAATACCAATCTCCTAACGCAGGCAAAATTTATTCAGATCATGAGGCGATGCAAGGCCGTTTTCCTGATAGCCGGTTACCCTTGATTCAGTTTCTCAAGGATTTGTTTGTCCCATTTTGTCCCAGTTATGCTTGCAGTGGGGTCCGAGTCCTCTGTCCACTTGTAACATTTTTTCAGCCATCTGGGGGTTTCCATAGGGGTACCCCATCCATGAATGGATGATAGGGGTACCCCCAGTTATGGAAACCAGATGATCCCAGGTAGGACGTCCTCCCAGGATACCGGCGCCACTTTTTGGAACGAGTTAGAGGAAGAGACGGAGCTGTATGATGGCCGCGAAGGGGATTTATTGGCCGTTCCTTGGTGCGAAGCGTTAAAGGTAAACACCTGCGGTGTCAATATGAAAATTCTTGGATTTATATATCATTAATACTTACATATTGGGTTTACATATTGTATTTACATGTATTTACATATTATATAATTATATATATATATAAATACATATGGGGATCGTTCTAAAACCCTCATTCAAATTTAGTTCGTGGGTTTGCGGAGAACTTTGGGTTAGCTTAAAACCTGCATCGCGCAAGTTTCGCGCAAGGCCGGCCCAAGGTTTTGCGCAAGGAAATTGTAGTAGGGTATCTAATGTTGTTTCTTTAACGATGTTTTGGTAAGTTTGTGTGGCCATTCTGCATCTAATTTGTATTTGTAGCACTGACTGTCTCATGCAGTTCCTGTGGCGCAAGCTTCAGGTCCAAAGTTGACCCGTAGTGCCGCCCTGTCAAAAACACAAGCATGGACATGGAAATACAATGTGTGAATAGGTAACACAAAAGGAACATACATTTTCTGATAAGAAGATACACGGACACGCACATGAGTTGAAAATCTTACTCATCCTTCAATTTCCTTTTGGGTTTAAAGGAAAATCAATTGAAAGTAGATGGATATCTATACACACTAGGAAACTACACGAAAACGAGCAAGAACAGGGGGAACGAAAATATGCTCAACCAAAAACTCAAACGGGACTGTGGTCGCGCAAGAAACTCGCAAGGTTCGCCCAAGGCCGGCGCAAGAGCCATTTTCGTGCAAAAGAATTTAGCACAATCCCCGTATATGTATATGCCTCTAGGCTCAAATGTAACACTTTTTGTTGGTCTTCCGGGAAAGCCAAGAATAATCGGTTCGAACAAAAATTGTTGTTCACAAGATTTTGGGGAATATATAAATCAAGATGATAAGTAATGATAAGTGACAATTCAAGATGTTCCCAAGCTCCTCGCGCCCAAATTGTTTTTTTTACTCCGCGTCTGCCCAATGCCGCAGAACTTCCACCAGGTATTTCCTAATGGTACTAATGGGAACTGTGCCAGCATGCACAGATCTTGACATACGTGAGCACAAGCCAACAAAGTCTTCCATCATTGGCGTCGAAAATGCGCCAGGGTTCCAAGCCCACTTCTTCTTCAGCCGCACAGCATTAAATAATTCTTCATGCCAGTGCGCAGAGAAGTGGCATTTTGGGGTGAAGCCAAACAGGCACCAGCCACGCTGAAACCAATAGAACGCCAGAGATTCATATGCGCGCAAAAAGCGCAACAGTTTCTCAGATCCAGCTTGTTGTTGCTCAGGCCCAAAAAAAAGGCGGTCATTGCCATCGTAGCACAAACGGAGGAATTGATCCAAAGCGAGCAAGCCTTCATACGCATGATCTAAAGGCTCCTGCCATTCCCAGGGCATTGTCCCAAGGAAATCTAGAAGCCACTTGACCCACAACGTAGTATCAGCAGCTTTGCAGTTTGAATCTGGGAAGTCCCTGTTGTTGATCCATTGCAAGTTCTCTGGGCTGAATTCTTTCAAATCTCGAACACTTTGACCAGTGCAAGCCAACCAAGCTCCAAAGTGCTCATAGGCAGCATCTAGACATCGTTCCTTTTTCTTGTCAGGACCAGGCGGAGCCGCAAACATCTGCATTGGGCCACAAAGCATGCAAGTAATGCTCGCGCAGAAATTTCTGGCACATCCGTGTGGAATCATATGCATCAGGTCCCACTTCAAGAAGCCAGGGTGGTCACCGCCTGGAATCAAGACCATTGGCGGTTGAGTACCTGGTGCCCAAGGGACCGACTGAAACACAGTCTGGCGCCATGTCGCTCCAAGCGAAAAGTCTTCAAATGGAACATCTTCGCGGATGTTGGCTTCACACCACGGGCAGATATCAACCCTCAAGTGAGATCTCAAAGAATGAGACACTTTGACTTGAAAGGGATGATCACCAGCAAGGCCCAGAAACACCAGGTGGAATCGCCCATGCGAGGTCTCAATCCCAGTGTAGTAGGCTCTCGCAGCTGAACGCCCGCATTCCACCATCAACCTGTCCAACACTGGGTTCCCAGCAGCAGTTCCCTGGTTGTACTTGGAGTAGTACTTGTGGGGGCAGCATGTGATGAAAAACAACCGGTGGATGGCTCCCAGCCCTACTCTCAACAAAGGCCCCCAAAGCATTTGCATCACTGGCTTTCGTCGGTGCCCAACACCTTCATCCCCGTGCAGCAAACACGGGACGCACATCTCCAGAGAGTCTCCAAACCTGGTGAAAACATCATGCCGCGGTTCCACCTTTGGCGCTTTTGGATTGAGAAAAAAAGGTTTTGGTGGGATCCATCTAACTAGCTGATGATCTTCAAGAAAAACAAAAGGCATACATTACAAGACCGAGTGTCTTCTCGGAATTTGTCCCAAAAACCACGCGCTTCAGTTTTCCACGTGCTTTCGCAACTAATAGGGCACCCGAGGAGCTTGCTGGAATATACAGAATTCAGTAAGTAGCTGGCCATGTCCCAAATTTGCAGCATTGGGTGTGTACTGGTACCACTGGGATTCATCCGTTTCCACTTCTTCTTCTGGAACCGCTTTCTGTTGTATTTCACCTAAGATGAACAGGCACTGCGGCTAAACAATCTATAGATGCGGGCCCCATTCCGGATCCAAAAGTTATGGAAATATTTTTTATGTGCTATAATATAACATAACCCAAATAGTTACTAATGATTGTTACATATCTTATAATATTGTTATCGAAATATTTTTTGATATATGAAATCGTGTAAAGGGTCGTAAACTTGTTGGGGAGGAGTGCCGATTAAACCTATAGGCACCACTGAAAGTGTTGTATACCATCATCTTCCCTTAATTGGTATACCATCATCTTCCCAGTAATTGGTGGTTTCGGGAATGATACCATCCATAGACCCCATTGTACCCTACCCCTGGAACCCCCTTTCAAACTATACAATGGGTTTTCCTGAAGAACAAATGATTTTGTAAAGTGGGGAACCGTTGGCTCTTGAACTTCTAAAAACTTGGGGTGATACACGGTTGTGGGTTGAAAAACGCATCACACCATACAATCCCAAAATTCATGTATCAAACACTTTGGAAGGTTTCAAAAAAAACAACCCACAACATTCAACAAGAAGAAAACACGACCAATGAAGTTGAGTTACCCCACGAAGCCACGTAATGGGGCACCCCAAAAGAAGACCAGCTTTTTGGATTTGGGTTTGAAAATCCCGACCTTTGTTCGATGAACGTTTCTGGTGAACTTGGCCCAGTTGGTCAACTGCCACCTTGTCCTTGGACCACCGCGCCATTCTGCCAGAATTCCAAGCCTGCTTCACAGCAGCTGTAGCACAAGAATCCTGGGCAGCCCGAACAACAGTTGGGGATAGCTGGGGTATATATTAGTGATATACATGGGGCATATAGTAGGTTTTAATCTATTGGTTCGCCGGAGCAAATACCTAAACTATAATAGGTCAGTTGATATGCATCGATGGACCAAAAATCGACTGACCAGGGGGAACCGAGAAAATCCAAGTTTCAACATATGTCTTCAAGACATCATCCACCACGCCAGATTTGCTTCCAGCACCTGCGAGGGGACAACATGCTCCTGGGGTTGTTACTTCAATGGATGGTTGTTTGGTTTTTTTTTTCGGGATGTCATGCGTACAATACTCCATAATATCCCTTAGTAAAATTTATGAAACATATTTGATGGGTTCCCAACAAAACCTAAACATTTTAAAACCACCAAACCACCATTGAAGATCAAGGCATATCAGGCAAATGGTGCATTTTTTTCTCGACCCTACTTGTTGGTAATCTCCATGGCATAGTTCAACACAACACGGCTCGGCCACAAACAAATTTGTAAGATGGGATAAGGTTGGTGATGTTTTGAACCAATATTTTTTTAGTATGTCCAAAAAACTGATGGCCAAACTGCGCCTAATGGGTTGTCAGCCATGGCTTCCCTACGCTCAGCACTAGCAGCGCCGAACTAAGCAGTGGAGTTTTCAATCCAGTCTGCTATGCATCAAAAAGAGAACATGGTCATTCTCAGAACTGCGCAGGCCCACAAGGCCCCAGGATCAGGAGTCCTCCTTCTCCTCCAACTCCTTCTTCTCCTTTTTCGCCTTTCCCTTTGCTGCCGACGACTTGACAAAGTGCGTCCTCAGGTGCCACAACGTTTGCAGTTTGGATTTGAACATTGCTCGCTGGGGACCCTACAGTCATGTGGTGTGGGTTGATATTAATTTCATAGGACCAGGACGGGGTCTTGCAAAAACAATAGCAGTTGCCTTTTTTGGCTATTGCCTGGAACGTGTTTCTTTCCAGAAACCTTCGCAAAGAAAAACTATATCTTGATGTGTCTTTTGATGCCCTTTCCATAATTTTCCATCATTGCATTTCTATACTGCCAAGAGTCTTGACCTGGGCATGAGCATTCTGGAATCGGAGGCACCTAGGCTTCTGGAACATAATGATTGGCCACTTGATTATTTATCGGCCTTGATGCTATGAAATTCCAACATGAAAATTCCAAAAGTCGTTGGTTTGCACAATCCCATATCCCATGAATAAGTTCTATTTTGTAGTATGTTCTGAACAAAGAGGACCACAGCACAATGGGGCCCCAACGCCACACGAACTTGTTCACATACCTTTGCATATGCCGCCTTCCTTAGACGGGGCATCAAGCAATCCAAAAAATAATGAAAAAAGAGTTCAGACCTAGTGCCCAACCGCCCACTGCCCAAGGCCAACTGGACCAACATCCATCAAACCGACAACCCTGGAGCTGAATGTTCGAGGCCGGGATGGCGGGATTGGGTGCCACCAAGATTCTCACGGGACTGCGGTCCAATCTCGACATTGCCAATGGCCAAGTAGGCAGTGTTCAGCTCACCTGGGCCAGCAAGCATTTTGACATCTTCATGGTTTTGAATGGGGTGGAATGTGGACAAAGAGATTGACTATATAAATTGTATATTTATAACCAATGGTTTTTAAGGATTGGGGTGATCCCTTGGTAATCCATTCGAGATAGTTGATGGTAACCGACTACATCCCTGATAAAATAGCCAAAGGTACCTGCAGCTTTCTCCAGCTCTGCCAGATCGCTCCTTATTCCAGAACAAAAATATATTATAATATTTTATAATATAATATATCAATATGATGTCTCTATATGTTTCTAAAGATTTGAAAGTTGAACTGAAGCTGTCATCACATGTCATAACTTGTGTCCGTATTGCGGGAAAGGTTCTCATGTCCCACAGCTTTGTCCTTGTCCAACCTCTCTTTGGTGGATTTCAAAAGTGCCTTCTTGTTAAGGCATTGCCGCTTATATTGTCCAACGTATTCTACGACAGTCTCCTCCCCCTCAACAGCAGGAAACTCTGGAAGTTTTTTTCGGGTAGGTTCAGGGGTCTTGACATCATCCTCCTGCTCCTCCATGATGTCCCCAAGAGAGAACTCTGAGTCATAAAGCCCCATCTCCTGAAGCTCTGCTTCGAGTTCCTTCAGCTTCTCATCTCCTTGTTCGACTTCATCTCGGGTAAGGACGAGGTACTTGGTGGTGTTGGAGTCATAGACGTACTTCCTGCACAGCTGTGTGTGTGTGTGACCTCAAGGTTGTTTGAGGTACACTGGTCAGGCAAACCATGAATTTCATACATGCATGATATATACAAGCGTGTGTGCATGTGCTAGTGTCAGTCTTCGTCATCTTGCGCTTCGTGCAGAGCTTGATTGCACCTTCTATCTTGGGCCTGAGTTGTGCCAGCATACACATTTTTTCGATAAGTGCAGCATCTTAGAATAAACATGAATAAACATTCACAGACATGGTGTGGCTTCCCAAACTATTAACTTGGCCAAAAGACTTGGGCCATTTCAAGATAGTATCCATCTCTTCTTCCGTATGCCAAGCATATCCCTTCAAGTTCTTCTGCCACTGGCGGGTCTTCTGTCTGAGCTTGTACAAGGCAGAGAGCTTTGCCTAAGTTGTTCTGTTGTAGAGACCATGGGTGTCTTTCAATTATTTTTAAATCACCCCTTTGAGATTTCCAAAGAGTCCCAGTGGTTATACAAGTTACTTTGTTCCGGTTCGCATCATCAGCTGGGTTGAAGCAGCGGCAAACGAAATCCTTCAGCAACTTGTCTCGCTTTGGGCCACCTCAGGGGAATGATGCAGTGTGAGCAAATTCACCAAATCTATGAAAAACACTTGTGACTGGGTCTATTGAACACTGGACGGCTCAGACGGGTCTTGGTTCCCTATGCTACAGTTGCAACGTATAGAAAAACAGAACACAACCCAAGCCTTCATGCCAGGCTTTGTAGATCTCTTCATCACATTTGTCTTTGCTTTTGGTAAGCCGGTACAAGTACTGCCATGCTTCTGGGTGTGTGCTGCTTGTGAATCGCTGGGACGATGTTGGAACCAGGACGAGGGCATCAGGGGGTGGGCTACTACCATCACTAGGGCCACCAGTCGGAGTGGATTGCTTGCTTGGGGGAGGCTGCTGTGACTGCTGTGAGTGCACACTAGCAGGGCTCTGCGTGGAGTTCTCTGGTGTCTTGAGTGCGGCTGCCTGGAGTTTCAACTTCAAGGCTTCTTTGTGTTGTGTTTTTCGATGCTGTCCATCCTCTGTCCTTGGCGTTACAGGCATGCTGCTGAGTTGCTCTTGCATCATCCTGCTCTTCTCTTTGAGTTCATCTAGTGTCGTTTGCTCTTCTGAAAGACATTGCATTTTCTCCTGAAGCTGTTCAGAGACTAGAGCCAACCTGCACTCCTGCTCTGAGCGCTCCTCTGCCAAAACGTCAACTTGCTCTTGAAGCCGTTTTCGTTTCACAGCCATGTGGGTTTCAAGGTCCTGTTCAGCTTGCCGTTTCTTCTGTTCAAGTTCTGCCATCATTTGGTCTTCTAAGTTTCTCATGTGACACTTAAGTTTCTCCAACGCATCTGCTTGAAGTGCATCCACTGACACTTCCGGCTTCACTGCCACAGGCTCTGGACTGGAAAGCGCAGGACTGGCTTTTGGACTGGGAGGGTTGGTCATCACTGGAGGCTCAACTGAAGGGATTGGAACATCAGCAGGCGTCACAGCACCACCTGCAGAGCCACTTGAGAATCCTCACACGGTTCCCACCAATGTTTGAATAGCCATAAATTTGTTTATCCCTTGCCAACCCAACATATTTTTGATACTGATACTGATAGATATTATATAAACGTGTTTGTTTCCTTGAAGCACTTCTGGTCAATTACTGTGAGGTTTCTTGAACCCACCAATGGATGTTGAAAGGAATCAGCCATGGTAAATACAATTAACCCACAATCAAGGATGGACATAATTTGCTATTTTATCATTTTTTCCCAACAAACTGTCCTCTGCGAAGCTGGTTGAAGCTTTGCAAATACGAAGCTTTCAGCTGTAAGCTTTCCGGGGAGTCACCAAGACCCTTCAACAATGCGCTCGTCTCCGGTGAGAAAGCATCACTCCAGTCTGGTTCTTGTTCAGGCTTCACCTTACTTGATGCAGGAAGGTGGAAAATTGTTTGTTGTCAGCACATGGGGTGGCTCACACACACATACTGTTATATACTGTATATATATATGTATAAGTGATATATATATATATATAATATTATATATTATTTTTATTATATATACATAAATTAGAGGATATATAATGATATCTATTGCATATTAAATATCTATAATGATACGTAATGAGTATACATAGAAGGACAAGTTGCAGCACGTTTGGGCGTAGTAGGTTGGGGTTGGTTTTCCAACCGGTGAACGCCACTCATTAAGCTGGCACACGAACTTCTGGTCTCCATGGGTTAAGGCACAGGATGGCCCCAACTTCAAGATCCAAAATCCTGTGGATGATATAGCATGCATGCACCATGTAAACATTTGCACTATGCATTTCCTCACATTCCTTTTGGCAACAAGCACTCCCACAAACCCCTCCCAGGAGCAAGGGATAGCTTGGTTGGCACCTGCTCGGCTTGAAGATGACGAGGATTGGGCATCATTTGGGGCCAGACCTGCGTGGGAGTAGCCCAAAATTTCTTGTGAACAATTTTTTTTTTGTATTTTTGGGTTGAAAAAAATCTTGCTAAATCTTGCGCGTTCTTGCGAAAAAAGTTGGCTTTCTTGCGGGAATTGTTGGCTTTCTTGCGCATTCTTGCGGGTCAGTTTTTGGGCTATGGGACCAAGAAAATCTTGTTAGGACAAGAAAGCCAACAATGTTCACAAGAACTGCTAAGAAATGAAGTTTTATCTTTTTGCTATTCCCATTGCGTTTTGTTCACCTCTAAGAGGTACGTGAGCAATCTCAAATTTGAAAACTGGTGAGGCAAATCACCAATCTATTGAATTTTTGCTAACACATGTAATGGTGTCAAGGACAGTTCAGCCCTTGAACCAAAATGTCCCTAAATGTTGGTGGCATGTCTACATGCCGATTTGTCAACAAATAGCTGACCACCGAGTCCATATCTGCCAAGCCCCACAAATCAGAACTGGTCATGGCAGCCAGGAGGGTTGGCACAGACGCTCCACCAAAAGCCTGCCACGAGAAATAGGTGTGGGCTGATTGAACATGATTGAACCCCAACATACAACTCAACCATTTTTTCATGCCATTCCAGACTTGGTTTCAAAGTCCCCATGAAGCCACCACCGAATGTCCAAACAGGGGTGGGCAGTGAGGGGAACAATGAAATATTCACACAGAGGGGCAAAGACAAGTTTAAAACATCCAAAATAAAACCAATACTGTTGTTTTTTCAACATCCAGTTGGGCCAGCCTGTGGGTTTCGTAGAGGGCGAGTTCCACTTGGCATCGACTCCAAGAGTTCTGCAACTTTATCACCAAAGGGTGCCGTGTAGGTCCTAAGGAACGACCCACCAAGAAACAGTTCATTAGACCCCATGAGTGACAACTATAGTGCAATGCATACTTCAAAAATGAATTGCAATTTATACCATTTTCTCCTTTGGCTTTTCCTTACCTATGCCAGTAGAAGCAAACTTTTTTTGGGGATATAGGCATCACCTTGCCACATAACTACAACCAAATCACTGAGATTTCTTCAGCCGCTTTCGATTGCCAGTTGCACGGGCTTTGCCAAAGCGGTCGATGTAGGGCTCTGCAAGGCGAACAGCACCACTGCGCTGGGTCTGTGCAGGGGCTGGGGGTATTAGGAAAAAATGCATGCCATAGACTAACTCAGCAAATGTCTAAACTTTAAACTTTTTTTGGGGCGCCTTTTTGGGTATAGAATGGGGCCCCATTCTATACCCAAAAAGGCGCGCGCACCCAACCCCAAAAAAGTTAAACTTTTGTCTTGTAAGAAAACCCACTGAGTAAGTAGACTTGATGGGGTATATGAAATGTATTTTTTAACCCAGATGTGATAAGAATATTATCCAATTTGTAAATTGAAAATCCAAAAGAAAAGGGCCAAACAGTGTTGATGTCAAAATGCAGTCCTGCGTCAACTTCCCCAGGGAAAAATGTTTGACCAGCTCAGAATTGCTCCACAGGAAAGTTGGTTTTAAACTCCCTGCACCCCAGTGTCGCATCCACACCCGTTGGCGAAATACCTTAGATGGACACAAGTGTCTTGAGATTGGGAACGGTTTTTGCGTTAATCCCATATCCATTCAAAAAACACATTCTGGAGGAATCCTATTGGCCCACACTTTGAACTTTCATATGCACTACCAAGCTACAACACATATGTACTTGCAGAAGAAACGCCACTGTGGAAAGTGGCGGAACATACTTCCAGAAGGCTGCTCCAATAGGAAGCAGTGTCCAAGTCCCACCAAAAGCCATGCCAATAAAATTGACCTGATATCAATGATGGGGATGGATCAAAATGAGGTGCCCTTTTTTCCCCTTAAGTAACTGTTTTGGACCAACAAAAATTACACCTGCCAGGGATATTTTTTTGGGATGATTTTTGCCACCAAAAAAGGGAACCACATTTAGGGCATACTATCCATATGGGGTCAACTTTTAGATTCGATCGTTATACATTATCATGTATCATGGACAATACCCTACAATCGAACCAGAGGTGCCCAACACAAATTGCAAAGCATTGCATTCTAGCAAAGCTGGATGACCTGATAGCCAAGATATTCCCTGTTTGCACCCATCCAAAGTCAGAGGATCCCAGGGGGCAAAAGAAACTCCGATTGGTTTGCGACGCTGTGAGGAAGCCCATGGAAGAGCATACTGGAGCAAGGATGCCCAGAGACCCAGGCTGAAGGCGAAGCCCAGGAGAAGAAGTGGGCAATGGGAAAAACATGTTTTTTCTTGCAAAATTCAGTCCCATACATTCTTCATAAGAGTTGGTGACCAGAATTTTCAGCAAAGAAACCCCATCCCTGCTGGAGTGAGTAGATCCATTGCCCTCCCACCATAGTTGACATCACAGCTTATCCCTGGAAACTTCGCCAATCGAAGCCGCTCACTAAGCACCGCTTGGCCTGCAAACATCTCTGCAAACTGCCATACCTTAGTTATACATTTGTGATGGTTTGCATAGGGCCCAAACTGATTAGTGTCGAGAATGACAGTATTCAAGGGGATAGTTGCATGTGAGTCGAAAAAGCTATAGATTACTAACCACATTTTTTGAATCGCAGTTTGATATGTCCTCATTTTTGTAAACGTGGGATAGAAAAAATTGGTCACTCCTACGTTATATAGATACTATGGAATGTCTAATCAACAATTATCTATACACATGTACAGCGACTTGACTTGCGGTTGTTTCTCACCAAGGCACCTGGGTCATGTCCAAATTGGCACTTAGAAGGAGGATAACTGCCACAACTGCCACAGCCTTCATGCATGGGCGAAAGGGATATTGTTTGAATCAACTAGCTTACTTTGCATGAACCAAAAATATGAAGGATCTTGAAGAATCTTTCAGCTCTCAACATCTCTCGGCCTTCGGGATGCGACAAACATAGAGCTTTTCCACCAATTCCGCCACACCCCAAGCTGGCATGACAGTGGAAGAACTAACAGGGGAGGAATGCCGAGGAAATGATCTCCTGCGAACCATGGCTATTTTCTATCTGCAATACTCTCAAGTTTTTTTGAGCCCCAAAGTCTCAGTTGATGTCACCTATAAACTGTGATCATCCCAAGAGTCGACCCCCACTTGATTCTTATGTCATGATATACCCCCGTAATCCCCTATACTTTATCAATACATGGTTTATGACAGTGTTTACCACACATATGCTTCACCCAATTGGGGCTGCTGGCACACAGTTTGCATAAGCACAGAGGGGGAAAACCTGCGCTGTCCTCTGAGGCATAAATCTGGTTGATCTTCTGCCATGACCGAGGCATGCGCCTGCAGTGGAATGGACGGTGAGATTTAGGTCATTGTGGATGCTGTGAACATTCTGCAGTTAACTTTGACTTTTGAAACTCCATAAACCTATATAAGACGATCAAAAAATAATTTTTTAGTTGAACAGTGGAACATTATATAAACCCCTCAAAACATCCTGCAGTTCACTATAGATCATGTGAGATTTTCCTCCTGGTGACGCTGGTCGTCCATTTTGGAATTAAGGGCTTGACCATTGCAAGCAACAGCTTCTGCAGTCAGAACAGCAGAGCTATAGATAATGAGGCACAACACTTAGCAGCCCTGTGACTTTTTCACAAGGTTCCACAACCACAGGTGACCTGTGATGCTATGACGTCACACAAATGTTTTTTCCTCCGAAAAATTACAGTACTGTCTCAAATCCTCAGTGTTCACCCATCGGTTGTGTGCTTTCCCCAACGTGCCATATCATCCAACAAATAGTCCCATATAAAGACACATTAAGTGTCAATCAGCCAGTGCCCTCTTCCGAAAAACGGGCAACGATTTCCTTCACATCTCTGTCAAGATCTGGCGACAGGCGATCATCGAATGAGCGCTCCGACAGCCAGCCAGCCTTAGCAGATGCGATGGCAGTTGGAGAATAGAATATGCTATCAGGCGAGTAGATATGCTATCAGGAGAGTAGAATATCAGGATAGTAGAATATGTTCTCAGGGGCTTGGAACATCATGGGCACCCAAATCTCCCAGTGTGAATTTCACCAAAAGTTTAACATTTTATTGACATCATGTTTAATGTCTGGAAACCACATAGTTGCAAATCTCGATGTTCAATTTCATGGATACTTCACGTGCCAAGTAAGTATGGGCATCATCATCGCGTTTGCGAACTCCAACGTGCCGTCGAGACCAGTAAACCTCAATGCGGTAGACATCGTTGGGCTTCAAAAGCCTCAGTTGGGTGCGCAATGAGATCCACAAAGATACACCAATTTGAAGATTTCAAGGGGTTCAATAAAGTACACATGCACGAGCACAGCCCTTTACCATAAGACTTCGAAAAAAACAACACCACACTGATTGAGTAGGACCCGAGTTCGAGCATATTCCACATCAACAGGTTATATATTAAAAAAAGTGTCCGCTTAGTACTACTTGGGAAGCTTCAGTCAAAGTGAGAATTTGCTCAATGATCATGGAAACCAGTGCTGTATAAAGAACAACCCCATCATAAAGAAAACATATTGATGCATGTGCACATCTAAGAAACTCTTTCAAAGCAGGTCTTTCTTCAAGTGGAACTGGTTCTGTCTTGAAATCCTTTAATTTCTTTGGGGCACGTTCTGCTGGTGGTTTCCTTGCCTTCCTTTTGGGTTTCTTGCCTTCTGCCACCGAACTATCTATAGTAGGCGCATTGTCACTGGCACCAGTCCCTTCCAAAACCTGCTTGGCCTTCGCTCTGCTTTTTGCCTTGGGTTCAGCCTTAGTCTTTGCCTTTGCTTTGGGGGATGACTTTGCTTTGGGGGACGCCTTTGCCTTTGCCCTGGCCCTGGGGGCTGCTTTTTCTTTGGGGGACGCCTTGGCTTTGGGACCTTTTCGAGACTCATTTGATACCTTGGTTTCCTCTGGCAAATCTTCCACCTCCCCAGTCCCAACTTTGCCATCGTCTCCATCTGAGGGAATATCTTCGACCTCCTTCTCCTTGTTGCTTTTCCTCCCCCTGCCTCGGCCCTGCCCTTTCCCTCCCCGTCCCCTTGCTTGGGAATTTCTCATGTCTCTTTGCTGGCTCCTGGTAAGCCGTGGCCCCTCCCAATTGTCCACGTCGTCCTCACCATCACTAGTCGCACCCAGTTTCAAAGTCTTGGCGCGAAGAATCTTCTGCCTAGGCTGAAAACGGGATAGAATATATTATATTATAGATCAGAATGATGGTTTATATTTGTTTATCATCCACTAGGAATGCTGCAAGGGTGCTCCTCTTCAGAAGGGACGGCACAGGTTTGGATAGGTGCTTTGCTGGGGCTCTCATCGATCTGGAACACCACCTATGCAAAGTCATGTGTTTTTTTGCTTTCTGATCTTCAGTCTGTCCTCTGCTGCAAAAAGGACACTATGACGAAATTACAGGAACCCCACCTGCTCGGAAACCTTGCTGAGTTGCCTGGCCAAAACCTCAGAACACAACTATGGGCACCCACAAAGTCACCAACATTAAATGCACATGGCTACAATTTCAATAGTTGCCAACATAGTAGCATCGGCATCCTCTTGCTCTAGTGGAATAGTCACCATTGCATCCATGGATGTTGCCGGGGTCCCTCCCTTGACCTTCTGAAGCAGGCGCTCCTTGAGGCTCTTCAGGTCTAGCTTGTCACCTGCTGCAGGCTAGGGCTAGGACTTCAATCCAGGAAATGTTTCAAGAAAGTATTAAAACAAACATAAACCAGGAAAATACCGCGAACGAATTGCAAAATTCACAGTGGGCCATTCTTGGTCCAAAAATAAACACCACCAAGAAACCTGGAGGAGGGTACTTAGCAATTTGTTTTCCCACCAAAGGTAGTTTCTCATCCGGGATCTGGGATTCGCGCTTGGGGTCTACCTCCCAAACTTCTACAGATCCATCAGGGTGAACAAGGGCAATCTTCTCTCCAACAGGACTGTCATCCCCACCCACTGTTGCTGCGGGTGCTGGTGCTGGGGAATGTGCATCCGGGCTGTCGATGTCGGTCAAAAGACAAGGATCATCGTCATCATCAGTACAGGACTCTTCACTTTCACCATCATTGTCATCATCACTTTCATCCCTATTTTCAGGGGCAATGCTATCACCACCCGCAGGGGCCACGCTATCACCAGCCACAGGGGCAATGCTATCACCTCCCACACCATCACTTTGAACCGAGGGTGCAGGCGCTGTGACCGTGCTGCGAACCATCTCATCCTAAGATCATGTGGCAGGCAAAACCCTTAGGAAAACACATCATCAACACATCTGAAATTCTTTGATACAAACAGTGGATACTATAATACCTGGACCTTCGAATGTGCTCCTTTTTGTTGTGCGACCAAAAGTTCATAAGTTGGCAAAGGTTCAGCAAGGTCTTGAAGGGTTGGGTTCCGCTGTCTTCCAGATCTCTTACGCAAACGACAAAGGTGGCTGACCATCTTCTTGACGACCATACCATCAGCTCTAGCTAGGTCTGAAGTCATCAACGCAGTAGCCTCCAAGGAACACTATTGTGATGGAACAACACACAGGTTTATGAATTGTGTTAGCCACTGGAGAACGTGTGATTTAGTAGACATACCGTACCTGAGATAACTGCATCACATCGTAAGTTGAAAAACTGATCTTGGAGACGACATATATGATACATGTGCATGTTTTGATGATATTGCGTATACTACTCATTTTTTGGACCCCGTTCGATCATTCAATTTGGCACCCCCTGGCCCCTGGCCTTCCATTTTCTCAACACCGAAAGAAGAATCCAGTGTATCACATCAATTTGCACGATGTTCTTCCACTCCCGGACAATTGAAGCGCAAAGTCCAAGTAACAAGACATTGGAAGTCAACATCCCAACAGTGATGACCTTTCGTTTTGGGTTGGGCCAAACTATGAACTTTTGGAGTTCAAGCACTTGTACCTTCAACTCAGCACTTTCCATAAGTCGATCTCTCAACTTCAGCACCAAGTCCCTTTGCCATGGTAGAAGTTTGATAGGAACCTCGCCCACATCCTTTGACTCTTCAGCCGCCATCCACCAAGAAGAGTATGGAGGGGAACCACACAGAGAGCCCAAAAACTGGCTGCAACGATAAATAAGAGTCATTGGTCATCAGTGAAAATCATGTGCACATTCATGCATCCACACTCACACACAACACATGCATACACCATTACACACCCTGCAATTAAGCTGGACAAGGTATACTGAAAGTATCTGGCCTTGTGGAGGCACACGCCCCAAAACATTGGAATTGGGCCAAAAGGCTGGATGAAGCGAGTGCATGCCCAACTGCAGGCATAGCTGGAGGAAAGACCAAGAAAAGTTGGTCTTTGAGCGAAACCAGAAAAAGTTGGTCAGACCAAGAACTTTCGGTCGCACAACAAAAAGGAGCACATTCGAAGGTCCAGGTGTGTATATATATATATATATACGTACATATTATATACACATACATATACATTTACATTTACATATAGACATACACATCCACATATACATACATGCATGCATGCATGCATGCATACATGCATACATACATACATACATACATTCATACATACATACATGCATACATACATACATACATGAAAATCATTACTTATATATATATATATATACATATTTACATATGTATGCATATATACATACATACATATATATATACAAATATATACATATATATGTATACATACACACACATATACATATATATATATACATACGCACATTACATTACATTACACCACATTACATTACATCACATCACATTACATTCCATTACATTACATTACATACATAAATACAGATACATACATATATACATATACATACATATATTTAGATGTATATTACATATATGGACATAATATATTTACATAATCATTTACATAATATATGTGCATAATATATTTACATAATATATTTGCATATATTTACATATTTACATATGTTTACATATATATATTTCATATATTTGCATATATTTTCATTTATTTGCATATATTTACACATATTTACCTATATTTACATATATCGGCAATATATTTAGATATCTATTTACATATTACATATATTTACATATTACATATATTTACATATTACATATATTTACATATATTTACATATTACATATATTTACATATTACATATATTTACATATTACATATATTTACATTTTACATATATTTACATATATTTACACATATTTACATATATTTACACATATTTACTATTGCACATATTTACATATTTACGGATTGCATATATTTACATATTGCATATACCTACATATATTTACGTACATTCACATTTATTTACCATGGATTTACCATGAATTTACGATGCTAGCATTCCATGAGGATGGCTCCACTGGCAGTTTCTCAGATCTTGCTTGAAATGCAGGCGACCAGCCACCTGAAGAAGGAGCTGGGCATTGAATCAGATCCGATGGTCGTCCCTCAGCCGGGACAGATATGGGGGGGTTCCTAAAATGGGGGATCCCCAAGTCACCATGGGTATCAATTTACATCAATTTACAAAATCATCTAATTCAGGATTATTTGAGGATACCTCCATTTGAGGAAACCTCCATATATATCCATATCTGGAAATATGAGGAGATAGATAGATAGATTAGATTAGATTAGATTAGATTAGATAGATAGTTTTCTATGTTTATTTGCTTAAATTTGCAGGGTCACCCCTTTGCGCCGCAACACCGCATGTCCCCATCCCTCACAGACGGTCCCTCCATCGCCGATGGGCAGGTTGGCTACATGAAAACGGCTCCCATGTCTCTGGAATTGCAGCTTCCAGGCTGCATCCGTTGGATGCGAAAGATCAACCCCTCCGCAGTGGTCTACTGTCCCTTGTTGAACCAGGAGCCAAAGGGAAAGGGAGGGTTTTAGCCAAGGGTTTGGGATGGCAAAGGCTACAAAAGCATGGAAGAATGAATGGATCTTGTGCATGCAACCAAGTGTAGCCCGGGGAATTCTCACTTTCTGTGCAAGAGCTCCAGCTTTAAAACAGAGGTTGCTTTCCTTTGAGTCATTTTGAGTGTTGACATATCTTGACATGACTGCAAAACACGGTTGATCTTCAGGAACAGTCACTACATGTCACTACAGGATGCGGGCTACTGTGCGGATATCCTACAGATCCCAAGCGTAGCCTTGCTGACCACAGCTGGCCCTGGGTCCATGGCAGCGACCATGCGCCTTGGATCCAAAGCGACGGTCAGCTGGGATCATCAGATTTACCATTCAAATCCATACCAGCTGAATCAAATTCCCTTGGAAGGACTATGGGTTTTCTGATCATTATTGGGAAATTCATGTTTTCTTTTTCCAGGAAACCATATTCCTTCACAATTTAGAATCGATTAAAGTTGTGGGCAGTCGTACACTTCTTTGAGAACCCATGATGATATGATGATGATGATGATGATGATGATGATGATTCTATGCCCATATCGGCATTTCTGCCAAAAAAAACACAGGGTCGCAGATTATTTTCGGTGGTTCTGGGAGGCGCTACTTCCTTGCGGGGCAGTCACCCGAGGACTGCCTGGTGATGGGAACTATTAGTGGTAGCTTCTCAGAGCTATGCGTATTCCACAGCAAAATGTAGCGACCAAAGTCTCGCCCTTCATTTTATCATATTTTAATATATTTTATCCATCACTTTCACATACTCTTACCAGTTTCTAGATGTTTCTAGGTAGAACATTGAATATTGCAGAGGTTTCCGTCTGCGATATCACTGTTTCCACATCCCTGATGCTCCGTGGAAACTTTATCAACATTTACCTTTAAACTGTCCCAAAGGCCCAAAGGTAGGTCGATTTGGAGCTAAACTATACACAGATATGATGATATGTTCCATGCAAATTGTGGAGCATATAGGCACTGCATTTCATAGCATTTCCTTCTTTGGAGCTGGCCGTAATATGAATTTTAGCTCGCTGCTGGAATCCCTTCCAGGAGGTGATGGAGATTCTTAAGGACTTCGCACCAATGCATCAACGCATCCGGAATCTAAAAGAGATACTCGACATGGATATCTGGTGGGTACTGTACCTCCACCAAAGAGTGGTAATCTATGATAATCTGCTACTAAGTTTTGCGACCGACCCCAATTAAACAGTCCAGGGGTTTATCAATCAGGGTTGACGTGTTGAGTCGATTGGTTTGGCTGAAAGTCAATGACTCAATGACTGTAATTTAGGTATAAGATTATGGAAGCTTATTTTACACCGCCTAATATTTCTTGTTCTACTTGTGGTTTGGTTAAATTGGCTTGTTGCTAATATCGCAGATCTGTTGAACCCTTGCAATTAATGATATGATCTTTTTTGTGGATAGACGTGGGGAATATTGAGTATATTTCCCCATCTGCCAGGTGAGGGTTTTTAGATTTGATCAGAGCTGTTGTCCTCCTCGTCCTCCTCCTCTTCCAGTTTCTCATCGACCATGTCTGCATCAACTTCCACCTCCACTTTCGCCTTGCCAACTCTTCGCCAAGCTCTTCGCCAACTTCCCAGCTCAGTGCGCACCGCTGGACCTCAACCTGGGACGTTCCCAGCTCAGTGCGCACCGCTAGACCTCAACCTGGGACCTTCCCAGCTCAGTGCGCACGGCTGGACCTCAACCTGGGACCTTCCGGGCTCAGTGCGCACCCCTGGACCTCAACCTGGGACCTTCCGAGCTCAGTGCGCACCGCTGGACCTCAACGGCCAGATAGAATGCCAGCAGATATGCCAGATAGAATGTCAAATAGAATGCCAGAAGATATGTCAGATAGAATGCCAGAAGATTTGCTAGTAATAAAATGTATAAATGTCATGGTGGGGATCATACGAAGTAAAGTAATTCTTTGAGACCAACCTTTTTGTTCTGAGCTAGCGGTTCGCAGTGAAATTTGCACGATCGATTTGGAATTCTTTCTGGAGCTTGTTCTGTTGCAACACCTTGATGTGTTTGGAGATTTTGGTTCAAATGGACGATTTCGAGGATATGATTTATTTTGATTTTTACGATGACCAGTCTGGAGATTTCCAGATTACATGCAGAGCTGGCCAAAATTTTATCGAATCCGGCAATGCCGGCAGACATGTTGGAGCAAGGATCTGCTTTTAAGGTTCTTTTGGAATCCAATTATGATGTTGCGGCTACTGGCCGCAGGCCGCCAGAGACAAAGCCGCGAGCTAGTCAGAAACAATTGGTGGATAAATTGAAATATCGCAACAGAGTGATTCGAAAACTGAAGTTGCAGGCGAAAGAGAGCGCTGCTGCGAAACAAGGTTTACGTATTGCCAACACATGGAAAGTGAGAACTTTTCTGGCTGATCCAATTATACCGGCTAGGCAGCTATCGTCACTTCTATCTGAATGGAATTTGGGCAGCGACGCAGAGACATTGAGCCACACCTCAGTGACTTCTGTCCGGGATGCCTTTTGTGAGATACTGAAAACCATGCAAGCGCAGAAATTGGCAACGAGGTTTGCTGGTCATCAGAACGATATTGGAGATCAGCAGTGCAAAATATTTTTAACTCACACACACGACGGAGCAGATTGCAAGATGAGATCATATGAGCCTACCTTGCGAAGCTCCGAATCCGTAATCATGCCAATTGGTGCCTTGAAACTATCGCGTGCTCGGTCCAGCCACATCGAAAACCACACTATGAATATTTCTTTTGGGGGTTTCAGCATGCCTTGGTGGAGTGAGCTGCAGCCATTACGTCGAAAAGATGCGCCCTCTCTGGCAACGGCTTGCATCGAAATGATGCAGAGTATCTTGACGCAGGTTGTTCGCGAAGTTCCCTCCGGCAAACCTGTGCCCAAAATTTTTCACATTTTGACTGGAGATTCGATACCAAGCAACATTGCTGCAAGCCGGTCAGTGCTTCACTGGTTTCTGCATTGCTGCCAATATTCCAAGGACATGGTGTACCGACTTATTTGTATTCGGTGCGCAGCGCACAGGGCAAATCTTGTCACAGTGGCTGCAATTTGTGGAGGAGCGCAGCAAAATCCTATTCGAGGCAATGCCATATGCGCTACGGTCAGCCGTTTGTTCAAATATTTGATTCCGCAATATTGCGAAGAATATGCTGCAAACCTGAGAAGCTGGCTTGTGGAAAGGATAGATGCTGCGTCGTGTACACAGGGAGACATTCTGGAGCCGGAAGCAAGGCCTGATGGTGCATTTTTCTGTTTATATGGCTCAGAGGTCATTCCACCGGATCTACGCCGTCTTCTCAACAATAGCATCTTTGAATGGAAACACATATTTACAGAGCAACAATTCCCGATGGATTGCTTGCATTTTCGTGGTGAGGTGTTCCAGCTGATGTATCGTCTGTTTTTAAGACATGAAGACAAGCCACAGGTCACCAGATTTTGGCTTTTTGCTTCTTGTGTTTGCCGGCTTACCTTGATGAAACTTTTGCGTGTGCCTGCTTCTATTTTCACCACCCACACCGTGCGACCGCAGGCGCAGAACCAGAAAAGAATCCAATTGTTCCAAGATTTTTACAATCATCCGGACACAGGTCGGGACTTGCGTACAGCTGCTTTGTGTCTGCGCCTGACAACTATTGCAGTGAATATAGCCGCATGTGCCTTGGATGCTGGGTCTTGTCCCGGCTTCTCGTCTCTTGGATGCTGGGCTTGTCCCGGCTTTGTGCCTTGGATGCTGGGTCTTGTCCCGGCTTCTTGTCCCTTGGATGCTGGGCCGTTCCCGGCTCTTGTTCCTTGGATGCTGGGTCGTTCCCGGCTTTGCTGGGTCTTGTCCCGGCTTCTTGTCCCTTGGATGCTGGGTCGTTCCCGGCTCTTGTGCCTTGGATGCTGGGCTTGTCCTGGCTCTTGTTCCTTGGATGCTGGGCTTGTCCCAGCTTTGTGCCTTGGATGCTGGGTCTTCCCCGCTTGTTTCTTGGATGCTGGGCTTCTCCCGGCTTTGTGCCTTGAGTGCTGTGGGTCACAGCTGTGTAGCGTCTTGTTTCTTGGATCTTGGGCGGTCACCCGGCTTTGCGCCTTGCATGCTAGTGTTGGGGCTTTTTCCGAATGGTGGCTTTGCGCGGCAGGGCCTTGCACGGTGAGCCTGTCTAGGCTGTGAAAATTAATTTCTAAGATCCTACAGATATCAATATGGATAGATTAGCAAATAAAGATAGTTAGTGTAATTATATTGGATTGCTAAAGAGATTTCTACATATTTCCAGAAACATGTTGCTCACGATACGTAAAATAAGAATACGAAAGGTATATATTCAAAGTGAGTGAATTTGCCGTGAAATTGTCTATTTCAAAATATATTTATTTACAAGCTCTGTCTGTATACACAGGTATATATATATTTATTTATTTATTTATCCATATATGTTGCGCTAACATGAGCAGGCGCTGTCGCTGTCGCTGCTGTAGCTTCAGTGCCAGCGGCGCAGAGTCCCGGCTCCGAGTCGTTGCCTGCCGCAACGGCTGCAACAGCCCGGAAGTTGCAGAAGACGAACTCTCATGAGGATGAGGTGGATCTCATCTGTGCGTCCACAACGGCGGCGTTTGAGAAGAACAAAATTTCTAGCGAAGATCCGTACCTAGGTGATGACGTAACAAATTTAAGTTTTTAATCTGTGTTTGCTTGTGCTAGTTTGATTATTTGTGTCTGATTTCCCAGGAATCAGCCGACTGTGCTCTATTGGCTGAAGACCTTCATTCGGTACATGCAGAAGAAGGACAATGAGGGTGCTACTGCTGAGACCATTGAAAAATTTGCCATCTACCCAAAATATGTCTCGAACATGTTGTTGCAAGTTGCCTTGGAGAAGAAAGACTTGGTAGCCTTCGGTGAATCCTTTGCAGAGCTTCGAAGTTCTTGCGGAAAGCTCTTTCCTACTCAGGGCCTGGCCGATGCCATTCTAGCCATGTCTCGCTTTGATTCGAGTAAGGATGTGGCCTTGGAAGTGGATTTCTTGCCTGTGGCAGCCCGTACCCGCTTGGTGGAGAGCAAGCTGTACGGAGCATTCATGGGAAACATTTTCGAAGCCCACTTAGAGAGTATCAAGGCTGACCGCCAAAGCTCTGGTCCGCAAAGGTTGAAGGCCGTTGTGAAATTGTTGACCCAGAAGCCCGAGCACGACGAGCTGCTGTTTGCAAAAGCTATCTTAGGTTCTTTGCCCAATGAAACCGAGCAGCTCAAATTTCTTCTGGGGAACCCTGAGAAACATTTTGCGTGGCTACAGGACGCGCAATTGTCTAAATATATGTGGGTTTAATGATTCGTAAATGCGAATAATCTGATATAGATTTTCTCATTTTTTGCCTGCGTCAGGATTGGTTGCCGGAACACCAGTGCCTCCTGCTGAAAGACATCTTTGACGCCAATATCTACCTGAAGGAGATGGCGGTGGAGAATATTGTCAAGAGCTACAAAGTTCTCCTGGAGTTGGAAGAACCCATGGCTCTCATGCCTACTGGATTGCTGAAGTCCATCTTCGGCAGCTTGGTATCCATGCTACGCTTTGCAGAGAGTGAACCGAGTAAAGCCTTTGTGTGGGCCATGACATCAGAGCTTCTATCCTTCAAGCTGGGCATTGCAAAGTTCGAGTTTTCAGTTGATTCTGCGGGAATCAAAGATGAGTTCAGTGATGATTTGGTGCGTGCCATTGTGAAATGCGCGCATCCCAAGGTTGATCGCAGCAGCAACCCTTGTCACAAGTTGGCAGATGAGTTGTCCCAGGAGATCCGCAAGAAAGAACCGGAAAAGAAAACAAAGGAGCTTGGCGATGGCAATTCAAAGCCGCCGCACGATGAGAAGCCCCTCGAATCATCCCCGCCAAGTGACAAGGATGAGCCAGTGCTTAAAGTGGGTGACAAGGTGCGAACCATTGCTGCCAAACGGAAGGATTGTTACCATGACAAATTGGGAGAAGTGGTGGCTGTGCTTTCCAAGAAAATCCGTGTCAAATTGCTCGAAGGTCCAGAAAGAACCGAGATCAAAGATTTCGGCCGTGACAAAGTCAAAGCGCTGGACCAGGGTGACCA